CATTCCCACGTAAATGATTACGTAACGAAAGGCAGAAAGATGACACGACAGCGATCTCGCCACTTCATTTTACAGGGCTGAAGCGGCAATGGCCGCCAGGCGTAAAAACTTTTCTCTTGCAAGCACTTCGAGCTGTCAGCACGAGTGCTGCAAGAGGCGCAGAGCTCTGACTAAAAGTGATAATGTTGATGCAGATTACTCCCCCTTGCAGTAATGAACCCAGAATAAAAAGTATGAAGATGTGTGTACAAGAGTGTTCATGGCGCGAAAGAGAGCAGTCCGTAGGCAGTCTAAGTCGTCAATGTAAAGAGGCATGGGTTATTTATAATCTTTCTGGCGGGCGACATTCAGAGGATTAGAGTGTGGACTGCCTTTGTGTAAGTACACTGTAGTTGTACCCAGGCACGTGTCACAGGGACCAGATGGGGGCTGCCGGGAGCACACCTGGTGTCGCTAATGCCCCTGAAACTTCACAAAGTAGTGACTTATCTGGTCCGAGGCTGGCGCCGTGGCGGTATTCGTCAGATGCCGTCATTCGGGACCACTCGCCACATTCGTTTGTTTATAGTCGTTTGCAACTACCATCTTTGCTCTCGAAGCATGGGCTTGCCAGGGTACAGAGCATCTGTTTTGACGAGTATGAACTTGTGCGTCCAAGCGCGTTGTGCCGTGAAATACCTTTCACTGAAGATTGACGTCGCTGTTGGTTGCCGTGGGTGGCTGTTGCGCCTTGTTATGCCATAACAAGTCTAGTGAGTGCAAAGCTCTTCATGATAGCGCCCGTTAATCTCAACAAGTTGAGACAAAAGACCTGGTTGCTTAGAATCCGGCCAACATTTTAGACTCTACTTTTCAACTTTACGAAGTAAGTTGCGAGTCTCTCATTTCAAGTATGCATCGAGCTTTGCTTAATTCTATGCCTGCTCTAACCCCGAAGACTTGTCGTGGTTAATTGTGCAGTACGCTACCATCTCTCACTCAGGTTTCATTAGTGCTTCTGCGGGGTCTATCTTTTGGTTCACAATACATAGTTACATTTTCTGCTTGACGTTCAGCGCCGGCTGGTATGAGTTCTTGGTGTTAGTCCGTGCACTTAGCATGCACGTCGAAGGATGATTGAAAATGTTACTGTGCAGCTGTTTTGAATAAACAAAAGTGAAGAGCAGAAACTCGCATAAAGATTGGTACTCTTCATAGTTTTGCTGTGTGCTTGCATATTTCAGAGCAAATTGCTTTCTCTGGCTATTTGACAATGACCGGTCAGCAGGGAGACTTGCGATGCGAGGGTAGCTATGCAAAGCGTTAATGCCTCAGAGTCGTTGGGCGCTTGCAGCATTTAGGAACCTCACGCATTCATGCCATTTCGTGCGATAGTTTACCTGCTATTTCGTGTGAAGGTTTATATCCGCGACAGGAGCTCTTGCGGAGTAATCGCATATAGTGACTTGCTAGTTCATTCGCTAGTTTATTCTTTCAGCGATATAGTTCGTATGTCAGCTACATCCTCAATTTGCACTTCCGAAATATGTTTAGTGCGTCTAATCGCTTTACGTAACAACCACAGCTTCTCTCATCTTTCAATTACAAATGATGTACGCCATCTAGCGCATTATTATTGAAAACCTTAGATGCCTCACCAAACGCTAATTGGCCATTGACAACTTCACTGTCTTGCATCTACAGCGACAACACTAGCTATTGTTTCCATTGACAGTGTGGGAATTGAGGCTAACCCGCCGCCTTTGCGCAGGCTTTGTTGCCTTTCCTACCATTCTCATGTTCTGACATGACCACCCTCCTCCACTGTCTGCTGCGCTGGAAGAGCGAGGAGTGGCGCTGAACCCCTCTCACCCGGTAGCGGATGTCAACTGTGGCGCAGTGCGTGGGGTCTTTTTAGACGTTTCACGTGCGCGTCGCAAGTGAGTCATATTTCTTCGCGACAGCTGAGGGTAAGCACGCATTCCCTTTTCCATCCGTCGACTCCCAGTGTTTGTCATCGGACTTCGCTGACGGCGCCTCGTGCCCGAGGGGAACGCTCATCTTTTTGTTGCCCCTTTGCATATGCCAGACTGAAGAGCGGTACGGTGTCTTAGTGCATGGCCAAGCTACACCCACCTGTATCTCTCTGAAGCCAACGCGAGCGCCTTTGCCCTCGCTCGAGCAACCGGACCTTTGTCCCAGTGTCACCGTGAATCACTTTTACCATGGTGACGTGCTCGCGGCACCCCCTGTGCAGTTAGTACTCCTTGCTCGTGGCGTGGATAAGCCCATTTGCTTTCCCGCTGCGCCTTTGCAATAAGCTGTACTGCGTTTTGGTGTTGCCACTGACAATAAAGTATTGCGACCTTTAGCAGTATCGTGTTCTCGCCACGGCGATGGTTAACGCGTGCCCTGCAGCTCACTAAGACCAGACCCACGCTAGTGGCCGTACTCCTTCAGGATATGTATACACTACAACAGTCATTGTGTGTGCTCTCGGCACATATTGTATACATATATGGCACTACACAAAATTGTCATGGATCATCATTACACTCATTTAGATAATTTTCATCATCATCAGCCTGACTATGTCCACTGTAGGACAAAGGCCTCTCCGATGTTCTGCCAGTCAACTCGGTCCTGTGCTTGCTGCTTCCAATTTATACCTGCAAACTTCTTAATTTCACCTGCCCACCTAACCTTCTGTCTCCCTCTAACCCGCTTGCCTTCTCTAGGAATCCAGTTAGTTACCCTTAATGACCAGCAGCTATCCTGTCTACGTGCTGCATGGCCGGCCCATGTCCATTTTCTCTTCTTGATTTAAACTATGATATCCTTAATCCCGGTTTGTTCCCTAATCCACTCCTAAGTAGACATAGTCTACTTAGGACAGGTTTAGGATGAGTTAAATAGCTGGCACGAATGCTCTCAGCATGTTGTCTGGCAAGCAATTGGAAGGGCGTCTTCACAGAAGGGCGTTTGCTGTGCAGGACCAAGGCAGGTGGCGCCATGTTCGAAAAGAGAGTGCAAAGGAGAGGAGGTTGAGGAGAAACAAGAGCAAAGGAGGAGAGTGTCGCTACTTTGCAGAGTTTCAGGGGCTTTAGGTGTCGCGACTCGTGAGTGAGCATTGCTGGTAGGGGTGCTTGCAGGTGAAGGTGAGGGCAGGTGCACAAGCGCCGGTGCAGGCGCTGTGTGTCAAATAATGCGAAGTGGTGCAGCGAAGTCATGAAAACCAACCATCGTCAAGCAGCTGCTGCAATGGGGCTTTCGCATGCGTGCACAGAACTGATGCTAATGTCGGTATGTAGCTATCGTGACTTGAGCGATGTGCAAAGATGGTTCGACTTGATTGCCTACGTTGGTAGTGGGTACCAAGTGATGTAGACGTCAGATAGAGGTGAATGATGCCTGTGGCGTGTAGAAGGGCATGCCGGCATTTCAGTCACATACCTGCTGGTTTGTGGTGTCCGTCAGCAACTCAGTAGGAGGCACGTGGACTCTGGACACCTGGAGGCCTAGTGGGTGCACCTTGACTTGGGAAAGCACCTTTGGTAGTCGGCGCACGGGTGCCTGTGCGCAGGTCGATATGTTCTATGGCTGCTGCCATGGCAGGTGGGGCATTTGCGGTCTGCTGTACCATAGGCAGACGAGGCACATCGTCCTCGGGAGCGTCGGTCGTAGTCGCAGTGTCTCAGACGTTTGGTCGTAGAAGACTAGGGGCTTGAACTTCGGCTGTGAGGGCACTGCTGGTAAATCGCTCTGAGCGTTGAGGTTGGTAGAGAGTCGCCTTTGAACATCGTTTCATCGCGAACCCTTAATGATCGGGTGACAATGTCCAGGGTTTTGGCAGACTTCAGGGCGGGCAGCGATGTAGTTGTTGTGGTGGAGCCCGACATGTCCGAGGTGTCGCTGGCCATGGCGCTTAAAAAAAAACCTGTGGGTGGTGAGCGTGCCTGAAGGACCATCGGCCGAGGATGTTGATCAAACACAGCTAGTGACGGACTGGTTGTAGGCAACAGGAACATCTTTAACCTCTTCCGGTGTGTGGTTGGGTACGAGAATCACTGTGCTAGTGACCGGACGAAATTTCGAAGCATTCGTAGTCGGAGAAGCGAAGTCTTGGTCAAGTTAAGTTTGCAGGCCGGGTGGTATTAGTTGCTGTGACACAGGGGAAACTCAAATGTCACATGTCTCCAAAACGGGTGGTATGTGTGGCGGTAGCAGGCGAGCACAAAGAGCATCGTATGGCTGCAGGCTGGGTGTAGATGCGGCAGCAGGATAGCTTAGCTCTACCGGCCGTGCGTTGAGCCAGATGGCATGCAGCAATGACTGTGCCGTGACGCCATTCAGTGAAAACGTGGCGTCAAGCTACATGAATTATCTTTACGGGTAGGCCAGGTGGAAAGACTTCACTGGTGGGCATAATTGCGGAAGCATGGTAGCGGGCAACTCGGCGAAAAGCGTGCTCTTTGGGTCACCACTGTAGCAAGAGGCAGAGAGACGACGTGACAGCAGCCGACGTGGCCATGCCGATCTCCCCCTTTTATTTTAAAGGGCCAAAGCAGAGGGGTGGTGGCTGCCTGCACCCGAACCGCCAGGTGCGAGAACTCGTTTTCTCTAACGTGTGCCTCGAGTTGTCAGGTTAAGTGTCACGAGGGGTACAGCGCTGCCACTAAACGTGATAATGGTGATGCATATCGATGATGATGGCACTACAAATACATATTCTGTGTATATAAGTCTAAATAATTCCATCGATATGTAAATAATAAACATCGCGTATATAGTATATATATATATATAATCACCCCATAACGTGTCGAGTCCTTATATGATGTGTGGAAGAATGTTTCGCGGTTTTACCGATAAGCATTGCAGCTTCCCCCCACTCATCATCATTCACTTCATGTAGATGGCAGGATTTTTTAGTGACATATTTCTGTTTTCGACTACATTGTCTAAACACAGGTGTGGTATTCCACAAGTTATGTGAGCATGTATGTGTATTTCTTTCTCAGGTCGAAGATTATTGCTCTGCAAAATGACACGGGTATCCACCGAAACTCACTTGGTAAGTCTGTCTTTTTTTTTATGTTCTCCGCGCTTGTTTCTGAGTTTAAACTCTGTAAGCGTGATCTGGGCGTCCCGCCATGGTGGTCTAGTAGCTAAGGTACTCGGCTGCTGACCCGCAGGTCGTGGGATCGAATCCAGGCTGCGGCGGCTGCATTTTGATGGAGGCGAAGATGTTGTAGGCCCGTGTGCTCAGATTTAGGTGCACGTTAAAGAACCCCAGGTGGTCAAAATTTCTGGAGCCCTCCACTACATCGTCTCTCATAATCATATGGTGATTTTAGGACGTTAAACCCCACATATCATATCAAGCGTGATCTGGGCATTGTGAAGCATATTGCATTATGCTCACAGTGTGAAGACCACCAAGAAACGAAAACATCTGCCGTGGTAGATAAGTGGCTGGGATATATCACTGCTGAGCTCAAGCATGTGTATTTCAATTCACTGCCACGGTGTCTGCATTTCAATGGGGGTTAAATGCACGAGCATTTGTGTACCTATATATGGGTGCATTCCAAAGAACCTTAGCTTCTAGACAGCGATCCGGATTTGTTAATGGGCTTACTTTACAGCAGGCGTTAAAAATGACCCCACTCCCAGCATATGCACAACTGAATTGGCTGCTCAAAGTTGGCCACAGCACACCCTTATGCGTTAAAAGCGTCCAAAATTTTTCTTGAAATGTTGGTCTTTGTTTTGTATAATGTGTAGTTTATTGCGTTTATAATGTGTAGTTTATTGTGTAGTTTATTGTAGTTTATACGTGGGTTACATCTGTTGTTGAAACTGGCCCGACTTCAACAGTATTCAGTTTTCCTTGTACATTTAATATTTTTTAGACTGTCACGTCTTTCATTATTTCTTGTTTATTCTTTTCCTTTTAGCATTGCATATCAGAAACAGGATGGGCCATTAAATTTTCGTCTTTCCTGAATGTTTTGCCGCAGACTGCAATAAAATTGAATAGTTACAAAACTACAGCCTATTGAACTAAGCAAGTTCCAAGGAAATAACCAAATAGTTAACAACATTCTCCGGGGATGTTGTCTTTGTGAAGAGGTTTATTAGCCGTTAAAGACAGCGACTAGACAGCGTCCAGCGATCGGCACAGCAACAAACCGAAGCACGAGCCGAGAGAGCCGGGCGTTGGTGATGCTGCTTGCTGCAGGCACAACTGCTTCTTCACAATTGCCCCCACTGAAAAAGGAGCCATCCTGGCGACCTAAGAAATCTCAGGGAGAGGCTCATGATACGGTTTTAGGCGGGAAACATGGACGATGTCACGTGCACGCCGGCGCATGTCATCCGATCGGGAAACTGGCTCGATTAGGTAATTAACCGGAGAGGTTTTCTCTAAAACGGTGTAAGGCCCCTCGTACCGGGGGACAAGTTTTGATGAGAGTCCCGAAGCTTGGTATGGGATGGCAGGCCACACGAGAGACCCTGGGGCATAGCTGGGATCCGGAAGAGAGGTGCAACGATTTTCTTTCTGGCGTTGCTGCTCGTCCGAGGTGAACGCACGGGCGAGCCGGCGGCACTCTTCGGCTTGTCGAGCAGCATCGGATATAGGTGGACATTCGGAAGCATCAGGACGGTAGGGAAGTAGAGTATCAATTGTATGGGAAGGGTCACGTCCATAAAGAAGAAAGAAAGGTGAAAATCTTGTGGTTGTTTGTATTGCAGTATTATATGCGATTGTGACGTATGGGAGAACAGGGTCCCAGTTGCTATGATTAGATGCCACATACATTGAGAGCATATCACCCAGCGTGCGGTTAAACCGTTCCGTTAACCCATTAGTCTGCGGGTGGTATGCTCTCGTTTTCCGATGAATGACGTGGCATTCCGAAAGCAGAGCTTTGAAGACGTCGGAAAGGAAAGCGCGGCCTCTGTCACTAAGGAGCTCTCGAGGTGCGCCATGTCGAAGGATAAAGCGACGTAAAATGAAAGAGGCGACATCCTGAGCGGTAGCGCTCGGTAAAGCGGCTGTTTCGGCGTAGCGTCTTAGATGGTCGACTGCCACTATAATCCACCGATTGCCATCTGGTGTCAATGGAAGGGGGCCGTAGAGGTCAACGCCAACGCGATCAAATGGCTTGGCAGGGCAGGGGAGTAGCTGCAATTCGCCAGTCGCACGTAGCGGTGTTGATTTGCGTCGCTGGCAGTAAGGACAGCACTGCACAAATTTGCGTACAAAATTGTACATGCCGCACCAGTAATAGCGATGGTGAAGGCGTTCATTTGTTTTGAACACTTTGGCGTGGCCACATTGTGGATCGTCGTGAAGAGAGGCGCATACCTTCGATCGTAAAGTGCGTGGAATGACCAGTAGCCACCGGCAGCCATCAGGAGCGTAGTTGCGTCAATGAAGAAGTTGATCGCGGATGGCAAAATGGAAAGCTTGACGTCGGAGGGATCGAGATACCAGAAGGTTGGGCGTACCGGATGGATATTCAAGAAGAGATGCGATCCACGGGTCACAACGTTGTTCGGTGGCAATTGAGTCAAGATTTAATGATGACAAGGTCTGGAGGCACGTGTTTCCGCACGTCGGATCTGGTGGCAAAGGTGAGCGGGACAGGGTGTCAGAGTGTTTGGGTCCGCAGTGGTATACGACGCGAATGTCATACTCCTGGATGCGGAGTGCCCATCGCGCAAAGGCGGCCAGAAGGGTCTTTCAGCGTGGAGAGCCAGCAAAGCGCGTGGTGATCAGTTACTAGATCGAACGGGCGGCCGTATAAGTACGACCAGAACTTTCCAAGCGCCCACACCAGTGCCAAACACTCTTTTTCTGTCACGCTGTAATTAGTTTCGACTTTCGTCAGAGTGCGGCTAGTGTAGGCTACAACGTATTCTGAATAGCCGGGCTTTCGTTGAGTGAGGACGGCGCCTAGCCCGACGCCGCTGGCGTCGGTGTGCACTTCCGTAGGAGCCGTCGCGTCGAAGTGGCGAAGAATAGGTGGGGAGGTGAGCAGACGGCGCAGAATAGTGAAGGCAACGTCACATGCAGGGGACCAGGAGGAAAGGTTCACGTCAAGGGCGAAAGTAGAATAACGTTCAACAGTTACTGCGACCACGTTAGCAGGAGAGGGGCGAGGGCTTAGACAGTTCGAAAATGGCGCAGTTCATGCCTCTTGAACTGCGGTGCTTAGTTTTCCTGGTCAGAAGGTCTGGGCCGGCGCCGCATGGGGAAGGGAGATCGCCGACGAAGAGAGGGTGTGCGCGGCGTCACGAAGTCGGGGTCGTTGGGAGGGGCATAGCGAGGTGACGAGATCGGCCCGTATTGCGCGAAGGGTTGGCTGCCGGGTTGCGACGACTGGACATAGTTGCCGAACGTCTGAGGTCGACGGCGGCAGTAGCGGGCAACGTGTCTGGGAGTGAAGCAGGCGTAGCATATCGGTCGGTTATCCGGTGTCCTCCAAGGATTGACGACTGGTGGTGCCGCCCAAGGTGCACTATAAGCAGCCGGTTATGCGGGCTGTGAGCGTGAGATGTAGGGTGGTTGGGGAAGCCTATGCACAGCGTCTGCTTATGTGAGCGGCGCTGCTACGGGCTGCATCTCTTGCGAACAGGTGACGGGAAGAGCCACAGGCTGCGCTGCATACGTTAGGGGTGCGGCCACAGGCTGCACGGCTGGCGGATAGGCGACAGGGCACCTACTGGCTGTGCGACACGCGGGCAGTGGACACGGCTAGATAGAGGCGGCTCGTAGTGCTCAAGGGGAACAGCTTGTGCAACCTCTTCCGATATAGCAGTGCAAAGCGGGGCGGGTAGACGAGTGGTGGTCTCGTGAGTAAAAGGCACTAGAGAAAGTTGGCGGGCGACTTCCTCACAGACGAAGGCTCGGACTTGCTGAAGCAACAGGGAATTGTCAGGCAGGGTGTCGAAACTGGACAGTGACCCACCACCACGCTGAGGCTGCCGAGTCAGTGTGCGTTGCTTATTCAACTCGTCGTAGCTCTGACACAAGCTGACGACTTTAGAAACTGTGCTCGGATTTCTTGCCAAGAGCACTTGAAATGCGCCATCGTCAATGCCCTTAGGATGTGTTCGACCTTGTCAGATTCGGGCATGGTGTCATTCGCACGTCGACAAAGGTCGACCACGTCCTCAATATAGCTGGTAAAGGTCTCACCAGTCTGCTGAGAGCAGACGCGCAAGCGCTGTTCTGCGCGCTGCTTGCGGACAGCCGGCCGACCGAACACTTCAGCACATGACGTGCTTCATGTGGGGATGTTGTGTTTGTGGTTGTTAAACCACAATTCAGCTATGCCATTGAGATAAAATATGACGTGGCCCAGCTTGTCGGCTTCATCCCACTTATTATCGGCGCTCACGAGTTCGTAGTGCTCGAGCCAGTCTTCGACGTCGGTCCCATCCGCACCGCTGAAGACCTTCGGGTCCCGTAGCCTAGGATGGCCAGGGCAGTTGAAGTGGGGCGTAGGCGCCGATGTAGTGGCGTTGTCAGTCATGACAGACGGTGGCGTGCGGCTTCGCAGCTCCAGGGTGTAGCAACGGGGATTAACAGCACCTTCCACCAAATGTGAAGAGGTTTATTAGCCGTTAAAGACAGCGACGAGACAGCTTGAAGAACCGTTCAGCGATCGGCACAGCAACGAACCGAAGCACGAGCCGAGAGAGCCGGTCGTTGGCGATGCTGCTTGCTGCAGGCACATCTTCTTCTTCACATCCTAAATAACAAAGTTCGAAGTGGTCTTGCAGTTACTTTTTTATTATGGTTTACCCAAGATAAGCTGGGGATCAGACAAAATACCCAGGTATCCAAAAAAGTATGTTTAATTTATAGAATTGTTGTAAAGCAAATAGTTAAATGTGGAATTGGTGTGTTTAGATCTAAAGATTAATAGTTTAACTACATTTATCAGTGTTAGGCGTCATCTGCCTGCCACGATGGCCACCAGGTAGTGATACTTTCAAGATTCTGTTGCAAGTTCAGCTTATAACGTTCAGCTCAGCATTAAAGTTCAGCTCATTCAG